TTTGCCATGTTGCAAGGAGCTTAGCTTCTGTCTCGCTAGCTTGCGCTGCGCTCAGTGGATCTGCGCTCAACAGTGCAGCCTAGGCGGAGTAGTCGAACGCAGATCCACTGAGCTCTCAACACAGACAGCACCGTCAGAAGGAAAGTTGATAAAATAAATAAAAACGTTGTATTGTTCGATACATATGCGTACCGAACCGAAAGCACTGTATCGAACGGTTCAATATCGATACGAGTATTGTTGCACCCCTAGTTAATACTGTCCATATGTATATAGTGCTGCAGAACTGTGGATACCATAACAAACACCATGTTTGGGGGTCCAAAGGCACTGCATATCACCCCCAAAACACCAACAACAGTGAGGTTTGGAACATCATAGCGTGGGTTGTTTTTCAGAATGTGGCACTGGCACACTTCATATAACTAAAGCAGGGATAAATGGAAAAATGTACCAAGACATTCTTGCTAAAAATGTGCTGCCATCTACCAGGACCATGAAATGAACGTTTCAGGAAGACAGCGATTCCAAGCACACTGCCAGGGAAACTCTCAATTGGTTTCAGAGAAAAAAAAATAAAGCCTAGAATGGCCCAGCCAGTCACCTGACCTGCATCCAATTGAAAAGCTATTAACAGAGTGAGAGCCCTTGAGTAAGTCTGAGTCAGAGTTGTGGTTCCACAAGTGCTTAGAGGGCAGTTGTACTGACATCAAGGATACTTGTGTTTTCTCCTTTCTTTCCTTTTAAAATACACCTCAAACTTCTGTGCTGCTGTATCTTTATAGTGTGGCTAGTATATGTTGATAACCTTCAGAACTATTGTGAGGCTCCATGCTACAGATTTGATCAATCAAATAATTGACTGTTATTTCCTCAGAATTCTGAAGAAAAAAAAAAGATGTCCCCACTTTTTCTTTTTCTAGCAGCCAATCATGTTTTGTACCATGCTCCGCCACTGCTGGAGGGGGGGAAAGACCTGTTGGAGTGAATGGTGCTGCCACAACTCTCCCATTCAACGGCTCTGGAAACATCTAAAGCTCAGAGTTCACTGAAGCTTTGGGAGTAGAAGACTGATTGTGTGGCCAAAGTCACACCTGAGCAATGGGACTAGTTTCTCCATACAGGAGGCGTCATCACCAAAAAAGTCTTTGGTACAAAGTATTCAATAAATTAAATAATAAAAAAGTGTGTGCAATAATCTTTTTCCTGTGTATATTTTCATTTTTACACATAACTTCATTATGGACATCTATGGTTGGATTTGATTGGTTATTACTGGCATCTGGTGAAAGGTTCATGCCAACACCTTTACAAAAATATTTACTTAGAGAATGTGGTGATGTGTTCAATGCTAGTCTTACCTGCTGGGGCTTAATTAATGGATGTGTGCATGTGAGTTAACTGGAGGAACCACATTAGCCAGTGTGATGCCAATTTAGCATTGGTGCCTTCTGAAATCATTTCAGCGCGTTTGAGAACTTGTTATTACAGAGCATTAACATCTGGGTTATTTTGTTTTTTGTTGTAGTTTTGGGGTGTTAGCATTTGGAGGGAAAAAATCAATTGAATCCACATTGAAGTACAGTTTCACCATCTCATCATCTCACAGCGTTATTCCAGCGTCAGTTTAGTTACAAGGAAGTTATTTACTTGGAGAGCACAGTGGTGCAGTGGTTAGCACTGCTGCCTCACAAGAAGGGCCTGAGTTCAATTCCACCATCAAGCCAGAGATTTCCTGTGTGGAGTTTGCATGTTCTCCTTGTGTTTGCATGGTCTTCTCTCCGGGGACTCTGGTTTCCTCCCACAATCCGGTAAGGATACCATACCATACCATCCAATATGGTATGGTAATCCAAAGAAGCACAGTTAGTGGGGTTAGGTTAAATTGCCCATAAGTGTGAGCTTGGATGGTTGTCTGTCTCAGTGTGTGAGCTCTGCGACAGGCTGGTATACCCTGTCTCTTGCCCTAAGACAGCTGGGACAGGCTCCAGCCCCCCGAGACCCTGAATTGGATAAGAGGAGGAGAATGGATC